TATATATATATATATATATATATATATATATATATATATATATATATATATATATATATATATATATATATATATATATATATATATATATATATATATATATATATATATATATATATATATATATACTATATATATATATATATATATATATATATATATATATATATATATATATATGTGTGTGTGTGTGTGTATGTATATGTATATGTATGTGAATGTATATGGACATATATGTATGCAAGTATAAATAAATATATACATATATATATATATAGTGTGTGTGTGTATGTGTGTATGTGTGTCTGTGCGTGTGTTTTTTTAATGCGTGTATGTGTGTTTTTGTGCGTATGTATGCGTACATATATCTATTTGTATGCCTATACCTAGAACGAAATCTCAATTATCTACTTCATACCCCCTTCTCTCCCTCTCATTCCCAGTCGCAAGCATCGTTGAAGAACGCCTTCAGTGCCCCTTTGCCCAAGAGTGCAGGTGCACACCCCTTGGCGGGTGTGGGAAGGGCCAGAAACGAGCTCTGCATTGTGTGTCGTAAGCCAATCGAGCAGGTGCAAATGGCTACACACATGCTGAACGCACACAACGTCGTACAGAAAGCGGTATGCTTGTCAACTCTGGCACGCCCTGCGGTGATTAGTGTGCGTGTGTATGTGCATCCTCATGTTAATATCCTGTACATAACTTGTGCGAGTGTTTGTGCATCCTGTTAATAGCCTGTACATACCTTGTGCGAGTGTGTGTGCATCCCGTTAGTATCCTGTACATAACTTCTCACCCTATACCCCTGACCCGTATATATTTCTGCGTTTCTTTTGGGTTTGTTTTTTCTTCTTCTTTCTTTTCTTTCTCGTATTCAAGGTTGCAGATCGTTTAACGGATGAGGTAGACAAATCACATTGCATTACCTGATATCTTATTGAGGGTTTGAATATATCTGTTCCTCTGCATTTGTGTGTGGTGTATTTCCAATGTTCTATTTGGCACGTGTAGTTAACTAGCTTTCTTGCTATGCACCTCCTCATTTATTTTCCATCGACACTCCCCACAGAAACCGCCGTCACGCCTGTGGTAGGGTCTCGTAAGTCTGTTCTGGTGCAACAAATTAGGATTTTGGAATGGGTCTGTACCGTGCTTGCTCAGTAGTACCGGGCACTATATGCTCTGTCAGCTTTAGGGATATATATTTGTTCCTCAGATATAGGGATGGGGTTTCACCACATTCAGAAGCGCGGTAACGGCACAGTCACAATCAGATTTGCAGTATTGGATTTATATACTCAACTCGAAAGAAACCAACCCGCAGTGCTATTAGTGAAACGTCAGATTTAGGGATGTATTCAAATCCGTCCCAGACATACGGCAGCATTCTGTATTATCGAGCGCTTTTAGATCAGTCATGAATGCTCAGCATACCAATAAACATATCATACGGAATCCGTGCACAAATGTATATAGAGCGCAGGGGATCCAGTAGTATCGACAATCCTATTATATATATATATATGTATATATATATATCACACACACACACACACATATATATA